AAAGAAAAAGGGAAAAGAATAAGAAAAAGAAAAGGAAGAAGGAAATCACCGTTAATCTGTAGTATCTATTTTCTGGTCGAAGAGAACTCATTTTTGATCATTTATTTCAGCTCGGCTTGACTGATTGCGCTGACAGCATCATCGGCACGCGATCCTTGAAAGGACTCTCTGGTGGAGAGAAGAAAAGAGTGGCATTTGCCCAAGAGGTATTTTTGTTTTTTTTTGTTTTTTTTTGAATTGTTTTTTTTTTGAGAAGAGTGAATCGAAGAAGAACGCTTGGGCTTTTTTCAGGACCTAATACCTTCTCACTTGAGAAACAATGATGAGACCAGTAACATTTGCCTGACCATTCGTATATTTCATCAATTCAAAAGCTTCCTCCACGAGGTCATCACGAAATATGTGCTCTTTCAGAGATGCTAGAACTCCATTTTCAGCGGGCTGTTTACAGATTTTGTTTGTAATGTACATTTCCGCCAAACGTGGTCCTTAGAGGTCCAGAGCCTTCGAAACTATAGCTGAAGCTGTAATCTTATGGATAGGTTGAGTAGAAGATTGAGAACTATGAAAGAGGTTACCATTGGATACAACATTCACTGAGGCAAATTAATATAACCCTCATCGTGTTGGTTGAGACCTATAGGCTCATTGCGTATTGTAGTCATAAAAAGTATTTTGGAAACTTTTAGCATTTTTCAGATTCTTACAAATCCTCCGATTTTACTGTGTGATGAACCGACTTCTGGATTGGACTCCTTTCTTGCTATTCAAGTTGTAAATGTAAGCGCTTTTACAGTTCCATTCACTTGAAAACTTGACTTGAGTACAGTTCCATTCATTTAAAACGATAAGCATCTTGAAATCCATCGAAGGCACACCTTCGATGGGTTCAGGTGGATCAATCCTTCCAGTGGGTTAGATAGAGCTTTCCGAAAATTGGCAAACGCATTGTTCTCACGGCTTTGAAGCACGCACCAAAGCGCCGGGGTCTTTTTATAGTACCGAAGTGTGCTGAAGCCGGGCCCTGTCGGTGAAGCAATTTCAGTAAGGGTTGTAGTGCTAATCATCGCGCTTCGTAGCTTATATGGATATTAACATCTGTTTACAAAAATCGCGATCACTAAATCAAAAATATTATGAAACAATTTGCTAACACTTGAACTCCGCCGTTCCCAAAATGCCGTGAAGAGAAATCATCGCTAAAAATTTCTGAAACACAACCGTTCATACTTCTGCATTCAGGCTTCTATGCGAGTGAGCAGGGAGATCTTTGGAGGCCAATTTTGGGAAATTCTAATGGTTTTTTTTGACTGGTGATTTGTGCCTCACCTCTGCTTCCATGTTCGAAAGAATCAAAAAGAATCAAATCAAAAACATTTTTAGGTGTGCGTTTGAGGTACCAGAGAGGAGGCCGCGCGGCAAGAAGGCAGAAGCGGACGAGTCGCAGCGCGTGCTGTGATGTAGGACGTACAATGGTACATTCTATTTAACTTGACGCGAAATCACTACAGTACGCGCGCGACTCGTCCGCTGACTCTACCTTCTTGTCGCGCGACGGGCCTCATGTCGGGTACCCGTGCATTTGGGAACTCCTCAAAATAGTTCAATTTGCACCTATTTGCGCTACTTTCCTTGAGACTTGCGCGCTAGTCAATCACCACTCTACCACGTGGGTCACCACCGGGTAATCTGCATAGGAACAAACATCTGCAAGCGATGGTTCTCGCTTAATTTCCGGGCATGGTCAGGAAAAGCGGACTAGGGCTAAAAACTCAATGTGTTTGAGTTCCGCTTCATTTCCTCCTTCAACCTTACACGATTGAAACATGATTCCTAAGATATACCAACAGATAAGCTTTCAGGTGTTGAAAAACTTGGCTGCTAAAAAGTCCATGACAATCGTTTTCACAATTCATCAGCCATCCAGCCAAGTATACGAGCTTTTCGACAGGTATGACTCATTAATGACCCTACATCAGTATACCTATATCCCTATTTTGTACGAAAATTATCATCTCTAAATAAGGATGAAAATCGTTCGAGAATTTGTCGACAAATCGTCGAGGATTTTTGCCTGTTCCTTTACGCTCTCGCGCGATTCACTCTCGCCACGCGCGAGCCGTCTGTGCTCTCCGCGCGTACATTCACTCTCGGCACTACTCTCGCACAGCGCAGAGCCATGGTCGAGGAATTCCTCGACCGTTATTCACCCTGTTCTGGATAGGCACACACATCCACGCAGCAACGACGGCAAGCCCTTTGCACTATTTTTCATGATTCGAGTGATATATATTTCAGAGTTTATATGATGACTGACGGTCGTGTAGCGTTTTGTGGACGGCAAGACAGTGCTATGCAGTTTTGGTCAAAGCTGGGACGACCACTTCCACGAAACTTCAATCCGGCCGATCACTACATCTCCTCGTTGTCAGTCAAGGATCCAGGGAGCTCTGGACGTCGCAGCAATAAGGCAAAAGTAGGAAATTATCATAGACATTATCGAATGGATGTCAGGAATCGGATGAAACATGAGAAAGGGTCAAAATATAGGCGAACCCGATTAGAATTATCACCAAAGCATAGGCGAACCCGATTAGAATTATCACCAGAAGAATACAAAGGGTTTAGGCCTTCACAACGATTATGTTGCTAAGCTCTTCTCTTCAAGAACTTTCGAGCGCTGCTTTTGGTGGAATACGAAGACCATTCATCGAGAACCAACCCTGCTCGAAGTTCAGCTCTTTCTGTCCGTTGCGAAGCGTTTCCTCAACTCTCTGGCTCAGAACACCGAAAGTTAGAACAAAACCCAAATCATGCATATAAGAATCTTTCGTGTGTACAGCAGCTGTCTCAGGACATCCATGGCTCTGCGGTGACAATAAGAACAACTTGTTAGTTAATAAGTCGAAGATCAGATCAGATCGAGCCGCGTTTGACACAAACACTAACACCTGATCATTTCTTCTGTACCTTACAAGGTTATAATGTAGAACTCTATTAAATAGCCTCACGTTTCAAGTGAAGCTTCAGAGACCTGAATGTTGCCAAGAAGAGAGGAGCTAGAGAACTAACACTAGATTCCATTAGATTATATAATACTGGTGGTGCATTAGACAATTGATGTACTGGTAAGTAGCGCTTTCCAGGCGCACGAACCGAGATCAAATCCTGGATTCACTCTTACCAGGTCAAGCAAGCTATACTACACCAAGTTCGCTTAATTGGTGACAGATTCCGTCTGGGTTGACAAATATTATGAATTGTGTATGGGCTGACTATGGTGGCTGACTCCTGCAGCTTATTGTGCAGAGTGACCACAAATTACGGTAATAAAATGACGTGATCATGCAAATTCTACATACACAGCTAAAAGGAGCATCTGAAAACATAACCAAATCTATTGAAGGTTATCAATTGAAGAGTGCGTTTGTATCGTCAAAGGACCAAGGTTTTTCCGGTGAACCCGGTCAGCGCGGTGTGGTTAGTGGCGAACACTGGATTTATTCAAAACATGCAGTTCGAATTGTGCCCTTATGGAAATGCGTGGCGTATCCCAAAAACAAGAACCTTGGACTAAAGTAGAATGGCTCCTCGTTCCATGAAAATTTGGCAGAATTTGCCGTTTCAAAGCGATTTCATATTCTCGCGCCTAGACAGTCGTCTGGTTCCTAGTCGATGGTTTTCTAAAGGAGTATTTCACGATAAGGGAAAGGTCGAAGAAAGGAAAGGGTGCATAGCAGGGTCAAGCGAGGCGTCGAGGAAAATTTGGAAATACGACCCCCCCCCCTCCCCCTCCGCCGAGGCCGAAGTCCATGAAACGACCCTCTTCAAAAGCCGAACTATGAAAAGGTTGTTTAATTCTCCCCAAAACTGCTTCATAAAAAAGCCCTGCTACCCCACCGTCCACAAAAAAATCGTTTAAGAAGTACAAAAGTGAAAAAGTCAAAGAATGATCATTATTGATGAGTCCTACCAAACGAGCAAACGAGAAAAGGAGCAAAAAACGACAAACTAGTCACTAAAAATGGCATACTATGACAACATCTCTTCTTTATTTATTTCCTTCACAAGACTTACCAAATTCTAGTACTACACAGATTATGGTTCTCAATTTACACGTCCCCCTTTCGCTTGAAGGAAGCCTTGTAACCGCCTTCGCCACAGGGTGAAAATCGTGTCGAGGAAATAACCGCCTCTTTACGACCCCCTCCAAAACATGGACTCTGATACGACCCCTTTTTGTCCTCTGCACATCCGGTTTCATATCAAAAAATGCTAGTTTCAGATGTGCGAGAGGGACGCAGCGCCGCTGCCACGCAAATGCGGCTTGATCCAAATGCTAGATTCAATTCTGCTCAGATTAGGTTCTCCTTCTTTCCTTTAAAAGACATTTAACCTTTGCCACATTGGCCGGAAAGTAGAACATTGAAGGAGGTACTGCCCCTACACAGTTGAACAGTCTCGCGCTCCAGTATAGCGGCGCTAACTACCCGCGATCGCGTCGCGCGCTGTGCCTAGAGCGCGCTAGTTGGAAAAATCGTCAAATGTACCCCTATTTAAAGGACTATAACTTTCTTCATTGAAACCATTTCAGAAAGTGAAGGCAGCTTTTGAATGCACAAGACTTCTAGTTTCTAAATTGTGCTGAGCGTTTTTCTAAGCACGCCTATTCTCGAGAGTGGGAGACGTCGAGGAAATTGTCGAGGAAATTGAAATTTACATGCGAGTTCCCACTCTTTGGAAGACAGTAGCTGTCTTCATTGGCAATGCTTTGAAAATCGGAGGAAAGCGTTGTAAAGTAGAAGATTTACGCTTCTGATTCGCGAGAAATCTGCGTCGAGGAAATGTCAAGGAAATTTTCGAAGCCACTCGAAAACTCTATTCCTCCCTCGCCGTAGTAGGGAACTTCTTTGAACACCTTCAAAATGCTTCTGTACACGTCAGTTCGATGGAGTAAATTGAAAATGATGCACTTGGCGCAGGATCCATTCCGTTCTTGTATGCGCCATGCAGTGACCCCACTCGGAGTCATTGGGAAGGTGTTTTGTCCTAGTGACGACTTGCTTAAGCACACCAAAAGATATTTCCAGTATTAACTAATTAGGATAACTCTTGTGGTCATAGTGATGTCTGATTCCTTTATTCAAATCGCTTCCTTTCCAACCCGTTCTGATGAATGACAGCTTGCGGTTGCAGGATCTGATGATGCCAAGAAGGCTGCGAATCTGCCTGTTTTGAACTTTCTACAAGATGCTGTTCCTCCACTAAGTTCTCGAAGCATGTACATCATTCTAGAGTAGATACTCGCTGCCCTTTCCCTACGATTCTTTTGCAGGACGCGTTGCCTTCCTATGCCACACTGATCACTACGAACCAGGGTCAAGCGAGGCGTCGAGGAAAATTTGGAAATACGACCCCCCCCCACCCCTCCGCCAGAAGGCCGAAGTCTATGAAACGAACCCTCTTCAAAAGCCGAACTATGAAAACGCTATTTAAAAGCGAGAGATTGCGATAGGATTCTGTTGTGCTCATAGTGGAAGTGAAGATGCTGAATAATGCCCTAGTAGCGAAAAAAGCAAAGAAATCCGTCAAAAACGCGCAAAATGGGACCACTTCCTCTGCCCGTTGACCTCCGATAATGGACGAGTTGGCAACCAACTAAGAGGTCGTCGGCACTCGTTAAACCATAGCTGCCATCATACCACCAGAGATCATACCTTGATTGATATAGCATTCCATGAGAAAAAAATTGGATACGCGCTCGAAGTGGCATACCTTATCAGAATGATAATCGAACAGCGATCTGCTGAGGGGCGGAGCACAGGCGGAGGCGGAGCTCAGAAAGGATTGGCAGCCCCAGGGCGCTGCAACGAGCGCACCTTTAGTCACAAAAAGGCCACATCTCGATTCCTTTGGGCTCTAGCTACTGCTTGAAGTGCTGCTCGTTCTTCCATGCTGCACAGAAATTTTATCGTAATTTCTCGCTTTAATTCTCCACCAAAACTGTTCATAAAAAGCCCTGCTACCCCACCGCCCACAAAAAAATTCGTTTAAGAAGTACAAAAGTGAAAAAGTCAAAGAATAATCATTATTGATGAGTCCTACCAAACGAGCAAACGAGAAACGGAGCAAAAAACGACAAACTAGTCACTAAAAATGGCATACTATGACAACATCTCTTCTTTATTTATTTCCTTCGCAAGACTTATCAAATTTTGGTACTACACAGTGTATGCTCTCAATCTACACCTCCCCCTTTCAGTTGAAAGAAGGCTTGTACCCGCCTTAGCCAGCTGTGTGCTGGCTGATCTTTGGCGTTGACCGTGGAGCAGCTTATCCACTATTGAAATTTGAACAAATATTCAAACGATTATAACTTTCTTCAAATATGACGAATTTTCAATCTGAAAGCAGATTTGGAAGTTTTGTAAAGAGCTCTTTCTAATCGTACTTGAAATTACAAAAATTTATGAGAAATAACAAATTTAGATCAATTAACGAGGAAAATTTATGGTGAGCACGAGTTTTTACACTTTCCGAACCCATAACTTGCTTCATACTCGTCAAATCCGAAAAGTTAATACGTCAGACAAAACTAGAAGATTTTCTCTATCAAACGGTTGCTAAAGCAGCTTTATACGTCCAGTACCAAAAAATGGCCACGTTGAGGATTTTTGCAAAATTAACGAGGAAAATTCGTGATGAGTGCGAGTTTTTACGCTTTCCAAAGCCATAACTCCGTTCAAACTCATCAATCTAAAAAGTAAATACGTCCTGCAAGAATGCAAATGTTGTGAATGGTGTACACCTCCCTGTAAATGCGCACGGACACTTTCAGAATTCTCTCGATTGTTCCTGAATTGAGGTTGTTTGTCCAAGGAGCCGTAGTTGAAGCGCGCGCAACAACTAGACCCACTCTGGGATGCGCCGTGTACTTCACATCCCTTCAGATTCGAGGACTTACTTGAAAGATAAATATCCTTGGAAAGCGTGCGAATTTCAGATTCTTTAACTTGTGTGGTGATAAAACACTGAAGTAACTAAGAATTACGCCTCAGAATCACGAAAATTTTGTGTGGGTGAAATATCATTTTCATTGGAAATCCTCTGGCCTGGCATCGACTCATCCTTGATATTTGTCTTCCGACGGTGATGATCCCACTGCATCAAAATGGCTCGATCTCTTCCACCCAGCGGCCAATACGACCCCCCCCCTGCGACGTGTCGAGGATTCCTCAACGCACGCTTGACCCTGGTGCCTAGTAAAAAGACAGGCGGACCTTCTGAGGGTGAGGTCCGTCACGTAATCCGCATCAAAGGATATGCGCCGGCGATCTAGCATGGCCCTCCCGCGGGCCAATTGGTGCGCTATTGGGAGCCTCTGGCCGTCTAACAAAGAGAGCGTTATCAGGGCAGCACCTATGAGACTCGAATCAACTGGTCCTATCTCTCGGACTCTGGGCGGTTTTTCTCGCCTTTCGCAGGTTTCCTGCATCTTTAATCATCTCTAACTTAATTTCCAATGAACTGCCATTCAATCGTAAAACCTGGCTTTAAGATGATTCCTTTGTAGGCAATTTGCGATGCATTCGACAAAAGCTCTTATGGACAACAGGTGTGGATGGAAGCAAAATCGTTTGGGAGGGAAGTCGA